CGGAATACTGGTGGTTTTATCCTCGTGTATAACTCTATGTCTACGTACGGAATACTTGTGGTTTTATCCTCGTGTATAACTCTGTCTATGTTTACAGAACACTCGTGTTTTTATCCTCGACCTGACTAGCTGTGACATTTATGTGATTGCTTGTCGTCTATTTGGGAGTTGTTACTTATATTTAAAGCATTTATAATCCTTCCTAGTGTTATTCCTATCCAGGGTTGACCTTGACAGCCTCATCAAGATAAGTTTATTCTATTGTAATGTGATACAGCACATTCCTGTCCTGTTGAACTTTGATGAATTAGTTTGTATTACTTATTAATTCCAGACATACTTATACAGTTAGCTACAACACTACATGTTAATCTTGTGGTTATAATACTGGTGTCTGTATACACACCGTGACCCTAGCAAATGTAATAATTTAATAACGTATGTACAATCAAACATATACCTGACTATGACGTTCAGAAGCGGCAGGTTAAATATCTGTTTATTTAGGGCAACTAAAATAAAATTAAAACATTAAAATCATGGACAGGAAATCCTTCTTTTCCTCAGGTACACTGTATAGGGCAACAAGTGTTTGGTCTTAACCTTTGATAACTGATGTGTTGACCTTGACCACCAAACCTTTGATAACTGATGTGTTGACCTTGACCAGACCATAGGGACATGTAGTTATTTTTTGTGACTTTGAGATATGACCTGTAATGGCTCTTATTTTGACCTTGGCCTCAGGACCTTAGTGACCTTGTTAGCATGTTATGTTAAGTAACTTTAAAATGACCTTTAATGACTTGTTTTGACCTGTACCAGTTCTTGGTGACCTGGTGGTACGCCATGTTAAATGACCTTGACCTGACTTTTGGTGACCTTGTTCTAGAAACACCAGTGTATGCGGATTAAGATTCTTGGAGATTGCTACTATTGTGTATGTGGACTGCCCCTCCCCAACCCAAAGCATGCTATCAACTGTGTAAACATGGGCCTCAAGATGATCGAGGCCATTCGAGAGGTGCGGGAGGCCACAGGGGTCAACGTGGACATGCGGATCGGTATTCACAGCGGCATGGTGCTGAGTGGAGTGCTAGGTCTCTCTAAGTGGCAGTATGATGTCTGGTCAGATGACGTCACGCTGGCCAACCACATGGAGTCAGGAGGCCTTCCTGGGTAAGTTGTAGGGTCATAGGGTTCAGTAAGGACTACCTAGGTAAGGTGTAGGGTCATAGGGTTTATTTAAGATTACCTGGGTAAGCTGTAGGGTCATAGGGTTCATTTAGGATTACCTGGATAAGTTATAGGGTCATGGGGTTCATTTAGGCCTAACTGGGTAAGTTGTAGAGTCATGTGTTAATTTAGGATTACCTGGGTAATTTGTAGGGTCATAGGGTTCAGTAAGGACTACCTGGGTAAGTTGTAGGGTCATAGGGTTCATTTAGGATTACCTCGGTAAGTTGTAGAGTCATGGGTTCATTTAGGATTACCCGGGTAAGTTGTAGGGTCATGGGGTTCATTAAGGATTACCTGGGTAAGTTGTAGGGTCATGGGGTTCAGTTAGGATTACCTGGGTAAGTTGTAGGGTCATAGGGTTCATTTAGGATTACCTGGGTAAGTTGTATGGTCATGGGGTTCATTGAGGATTACCTGGGTAAGTTGTAGGGTCATGGGGTTCATTTAGGACTACCTGTGTAAGTTGTAGGGTCATGGGGTTCAGTTAGGATTACCTGGGTAAGTTGTAGGGTCATAACTCTGTTGTGTTTGCTCATTTGCATATAACATCTATTTCAATGAAGACATAGTGATTGTCACATGTAGATGACTGACAGTTTTATCTGTATATAAGATAGTGGTAGATTTGATATGTTTGCTTTGCCTAAATTCAAACAGACATAAAAAAAAAAGTTATGAGATAATTGTAGTCACTTACAGACATACATATATACTTACATTTGGTGAAGATTGATTGATTATTTCTCCACTTCTTTGAAACAGAATTCTGCGACTTGGAGTGTAATTCTGTCATCAGGATATCTGATATTGACAGACATTGGATACATCATCACAACACAATGTAAAATATAAATGGACTGCAGCAGAAAGCAGACAATAGTCCATGATTTTGATAACCCTTTATAACTCAAAAATCCAACAAAGTGTTTAAATTTCCTCTTGTTTAAAATGTCTTTGCTTTTTTTTCAGAAAAGTCCACATAACAGAAAGCACTCTGAGATTTCTCTCTGAGGAGTTTAAGGTGGAACCAGGAAATGGAGCACGTAGAAATTCCTACCTTTCTGAACATAATGTTGAAACCTTCTTCATCGTCCCTAAAACTAGAGAGGTTCGTCTACAAATACGCTACTTTTGATTCGATATTCATGTCCTGTATAGAAGATTATCAATCAAAATTCAGTTTATAATATTAATAAGAGTGGTACATGTATTTAATACAAGTGTTAAAGGTAAATGAACATCTTGACTATTAGCTGCTGTAACACTTTAGAAATGAGTCTTGGTTCAGCCATTCTGACTGATTCTTGTTGTGTCGTTTTCCAGTTTGATGAGGGAAGGAAGATACGTTCAAGATTTGAGAGTTCACTACGTGCCTCTCTACGAGTAACAAAGTACCTGGAGAGCTGGAATGTGGACAAACCCTTCGCAAATCTCCGTGTTAGCACCATGGCGACAAAGCTTCTCAGTGTCACAGTAAGTCAAAGGGTGTTAGTGTTAGAAAGTAAACAACTGATACCTATTGGTATCCCATCCTTACACAGAACATATGACTTCTACTGATAGAAGTGTATATACTGAAACTATTTATAATGAATTATATAACATAACACCACTTGCACCGTGCAATATTTTGGAATATTGATTTAACTTTCAAAGAATTGTATACAGTATAACTTGGAATACTGCATGAGTTTATTTTTCAAATAAAACAACAGGCTTTGGCTTGAGATTCAACAATATTTGAATGCATTAATATTAAACTGAGTATATGTAAATGGACAGGAAAGTCTGATGCACGGAGAAATTTGTCTGACCCTCCATCGGAGTGGATGCAATTTTACATGACTATTTGAGTAGATGTTTAATGATGTATATTTGTCTTACACAGCTCATTCCTGTAAGTACAGGTAATAGGTTCTTGTTAATGGTTAACATTACTAACATCACAGCACCCCCTATCTCACTAATGCTTGAAGGGGAGACAACTCACAGTTTTTTGCAGCAGTGTTACTGATTAATGTCTTTTTGATTATTTTACAATTTCATTTGGTGTTGGAGAATGTTTTCATATTTGATTAACAGCTTTTGCTGCATTGGTTTTAGCTCACATAGCACAAATTACCTAAGAGCTTTTTCCATGGTGCAATGTTCGTTATCCTCAGCAATTCTTTCTTTAAACAACTTTTTAAAGAACATATAAGGCCGGATTAGTAAACTGCTTTTTTGAGGTGAACACTATAAAGTGTGTTCAAGCACAGGTCAAGTTGATTAAATAGATGACTTTGACCTATATTTATTATCAAAGGTCACAGGTCAAATTTGTAAAAATTCAATTAACAAAAAAAGTCACGAAATTAACCATTTTGGCCCCCTTTTTCATTAACATGCCATCGAAATTGCATTTACTATGATGTATGAATTGACCGTGATTCTGGTATAATTTATAGCAATCTTATACCAGTAACATGTGACAAATGATGGTTGTATAGGTAATAATCTTATAATTACAATTCAAGTGTCTAGAATGAAGTTCAAACATTTTTCGGAGATTTCATTAATAAATATATTGTATTTAATCCATTATTTGTGGTGGTAATTGAAAGTATTTTAATGAGTTTGTTTGTTTCACAGGTGTTTGAATTGCTTGCCCCCTTTTATAGGCTACTACTACATGTTGTACCTGTACTGTAGGACATATAAAACATCCTTTAGAACTATTTATAGTTGAATCTATTTTTGTGATGGGGTTGCCAGCCAATTCAAACACCTGTGGCATTTGTAGAAGTTATATGAGATGAATGTATCAGAATATTTGGAATGGGTATAGCAGCTGTAGATAGTTAAATGCTGTAGAGGAACTTATAATCACTAACTAAAGCAGGTTTCGCTTTCAGTTCACCTAGTAATGCACTTCTCATTTGCACCACTGCTTTACAATGCACTCAATTTATTTACAGTAACTACCCTAACAGATAGTTGTACCACAGTAACCCTACTAATAGAGAGTTCTGACATAGAAACCATCCTAACAAGGAGTTCTGACATAGAAACCATCCTAACAAGGAGTTCTGACATAGAAACCATCCTAACAAGGAGTTCTGACACAGTTACCATCCTAACAATGAGTTCTGACACAGTTACCATCCTAACAATGAGTTCTGACATAGAAACCATCCTAACAAGGAGTTCTGACACAGTTACCATCCTAACAATGAGTTCTGACACAGTTACCATCCTAACAATGAGTTCTGACACAGTTACCATCCTAACAATGAGTTCTGACACAGTTACCATCCTAACAATGAGTTCTGACACAGTTACCATCCTAACAATGAGTTCTGACATAGAAACCATCCTAACAAGGAGTTCTGACACAGTTACCATCCTAACAATGAGTTCTGACACAGTTACCATCCTAACAATGAGTTCTGACACAGTTACCATCCTAACAATGAGTTCTGACACAGTTACCATCCTAACAATGAGTTCTGACACAGTTACCATCCTAACAATGAGTTCTGACACAGTTACCATCCTAACAATGAGTTCTGACACAGTTACCATCCTAACAATGAGTTCTGACACAGTTACCATCCTAACAATGAGTTCTGACACAGTTACCATCCTAACAATGAGTTCTGACACAGTTACCATCCTAACAATGAGTTCTGACACAGTTACCATCCTAACAATGAGTTCTGACACAGTTACCATCCTAACAATGAGTTCTGACATAGAAACCATCCTAACAATGAGTTCTGACACAGTTACCATCCTAACAATGAGTTCTGACACAGTTACCATCCTAACAATGAGTTCTGACATAGAAACCATCCTAACAAGGAGTTCTGACACAGTTACCATCCTAACAATGAGTTCTGACACAGTTACCATCCTAACAATGAGTTCTGACACAGTTACCATCCTAACAATGAGTTCTGACACAGTTACCATCCTAACAATGAGTTCTGACATAGAAACCATCCTAACAAGGAGTTCTGACACAGTTACCATCCTAACAATGAGTTCTGACACAGTTACCATCCTAACAATGAGTTCTGACACAGTTACCATCCTAACAATGAGTTCTGACACAGTTACCATCCTAACAATGAGTTCTGACACAGTTACCATCCTAACAATGAGTTCTGACATAGAAACCATCCTAACAAGGAGTTCTGACACAGTTACCATCCTAACAATGAGTTCTGACACAGTTACCATCCTAACAATGAGTTCTGACATAGAAACCATCCTAACAATGAGTTCTGACACAGTTACCATCCTAACAATGAGTTCTGACACAGTTACCATCCTAACAATGAGTTCTGACATAGAAACCATCCTAACAAGGAGTTCTGACACAGTTACCATCCTAACAATGAGTTCTGACACAGTTACCATCCTAACAATGAGTTCTGACATAGTTACCATCCTAACAATGAGTTCTGACACAGTTACCATCCTAACAATGAGTTCTGACACAGTTACCATCCTAACAATGAGTTCTGACATAGTTACCATCCTAACAATGAGTTCTGACACAGTTACCATCCTAACAATGAGTTCTGACACAGTTACCATCCTAACAATGAGTTCTGACACAGTTACCATCCTAACAATGAGTTCTGACACAGTTACCATCCTAACAATGAGTTCTGACACAGTTACCATCCTAACAATGAGTTCTGACACAGTTACCATCCTAACAATGAGTTCTGACACAGTTACCATCCTAACAATGAGTTCTGACACAGTTACCATCCTAACAATGAGTTCTGACACAGTTACCATCCTAACAATGAGTTCTGACACAGTTACCATCCTAACAATGAGTTCTGACACAGTTACCATCCTAACAATGAGTTCTGACACAGTTACCATCCTAACAATGAGTTCTGACACAGTTACCATCCTAACAATGAGTTCTGACACAGTTACCATCCTAACAATGAGTTCTGACACAGTTACCATCCTAACAATGAGTTCTGACACAGTTACCATCCTAACAATGAGTTCTGACACAGTTACCATCCTAACAATGAGTTCTGACACAGTTACCATCCTAACAATGAGTTCTGACATAGTTACCATCCTAACAATGAGTTCTGACACAGTTACCATCCTAACAATGAGTTCTGACACAGTTACCATCCTAACAATGAGTTCTGACACAGTTACCATCCTAACAATGAGTTCTGACACAGTTACCATCCTAACAATGAGTTCTGACACAGTTACCATCCTAACAATGAGTTCTGACACAGTTACCATCCTAACAATGAGTTCTGACACAGTTACCATCCTAACAATGAGTTCTGACACAGTTACCATCCTAACAATGAGTTCTGACACAGTTACCATCCTAACAATGAGTTCTGACACAGTTACCATCCTAACAATGAGTTCTGACACAGTTACCATCCTAACAATGAGTTCTGACACAGTTACCATCCTAACAATGAGTTCTGACATAGAAACCATCCTAACAAGGAGTTCTGACACAGTTACCATCCTAACAATGAGTTCTGACACAGTTTACCATCCTAACAATAAGTTCTGACACAGTTTACCATCTTAACAATGAGTTCTGACACAGTTATCATCCTAACAATGAGTTCTGACACAGTTATCATCCTAACAAAGAGTTCTGACACAGTTTACCATCCTAACAATGAGTTCTGACACAGTTTACCATCCTAACAATGAGTTCTGACACAGTTACCATCCTAACAATGAGTTATGACACAGTTACCATCCTAACAATTGGTTCTGACATAGTTACCATCCTAACAATGAGTTCTGACACAGTTATCATCCTAACAATGAGTTCTGACACAGTTTACCATCCTAACAATGAGTTCTGACACAGTTACCCTCCTAACAATGAGTTCTGACACAGTTTACCATCCTAACAATGAGTTCTAAAACAGTTTACCATCCTAACAATGAGTTCTGACACAGTTACCATCCTAACAATGAGTTCTGACACAGTTTACCATCCTAACAATAAGTTCTGACACAGTTTACCATCCTAACAATGAGTTCTGACACAGTAATCATCCTAACAATGAGTTCTGACACAGTTATCATCCTAACAAAGAGTTCTGACACAGTTTACCATCCTAACAATGAGTTCTGACACAGTTACCATCCTAACAATTAGTTCTGACACAGTTACCATCCTAACAATGAGTTCTGACACAGTTATCATCCTAACAATGAGTTCTGAAACAGTTTACCATCCTAACAATGAGTTCTGACACAGTTCCCATCCTAACAATGAGTTCTGACACAGTTACCCTCCTAACAATGAGTTCTGACACAGTTTACCATCCTAACAATGAATTATGACACAGTTATCATCCTAACAGTGAGTTCTGACACAGTTACGATCCTAACAATGAGTTCTGACACAGTTACAATCCTATCAATGAGTTCTGACGCAGTTACCATCCTAACAATAAGTTCTGATACAGTTTCCATCCTAACAATGAGTTCTGACACAGTTCCCATCCTAACAATGAGTTCTGACACAGTTACGATCCTTACAATGAGTTCTGACACAGTTACAATCCTATCAATGAGTTCTGACGCAGTTACCATCCTAACAATAAGTTCTGATACAGTGACCATCCTAACAATGAGTTCTGACACAGTTATCATCCTAACAATGAGTTCTGAAACAGTTTACCATCCTAACAATGAGTTCTGACACAGTTACCATCCTGACAATGAGTTCTGACACAGTTACCATCCTAACAATAAGTTCTGATACAGTTACCATCCTAACAATGAGTTCTGACACAGTTACCATCCTAACTATGAGTTCTGACACAGTTACCGTCCTGACAATGAGTTCTGACACAGTTTATCATCCTAACAATATAGTTCTGACATATTTACCTCAAACAGAGTTTTGACACAGTTTACCGTCCTAATATTGCGTCACTCATGATTTCAGTCCTGTACAGGATACACACTGCAGCACCATTTACCCAATTCACATTGACTTCACACATTCACACTTGCTATCAACCCAGTGTGATAATACACCCACATAATGTGTGACTAAGCTTGTTCTTTAGGCTGTGCTTTAGAAGATAGAGCTTGTGCTGATTAGAAGTTTTATATAAGGGCAGCTACTTGTGGTATATTAGGGATATATTGTAGAAATTACTCACTTAATTATATAGTAACACAGCAATTACTTAGTAATGTCTTAATTACCAGTTAAAAGTAACACATTATTTACTATTTAGCAATGGCAGTTACAGTTGTGTGATCATGCAACGCACCAAAAATTACTGTGCGCACCTCGTGCATAGATAATGCAAACTCTGACTGCACATAGATGTGCAATTTAAAAATTGATCTCCCCGTTATGTTCACATGTGTGCAGTATGGTAAGAATGGTTGATCGATGTTACAGAATAAAAAAATGTGTGACATAAGGTACATTGTACGCATTAAATATCTGATCGGTATAATTTGCACTTAATCTATTCTTCAATGCACATTATCACAATGACTGCAAAACTATCTATATTTATAATGGAGTTGACCATCAATTATAGGTCATCAGTGATTTGACAGTTATAAAAAAATCGACTGGACATTGCCTGTGTTAATTATGCCAGTTACAATTTATGTAAAAAAATCACACCTTCTTAACGGTTGATAAACACACGACATGTACCCAATACCTGTTAATTAACCTAGGTAACAGCTAAGACTGCTTCTCCCTACAGTACGTATACCTATATAACCATATATCTACACAGGTTTCGAATAAGGTCGTTTCAAAACAATTTTGTTCAATAAACGTGATATATCAATTTCTGGTATCTATTACTCCACAGTTTTTCATAATTTGAACATTGTCTACACACCGCACATCATGTAACATTGTGCGATCTCACAACTGTACTATGGTAACACCATAAACACAATAGCAACACCACAATCACTATGGTAACACCACAATCACAATAGCAACACCACAATCACTATGGTAACACCACAATCACAATAGCAACACCACAATCACTATGGTAACACCACAATCACAATAGCAACACCACAATCACTATGGTAACACCACAATCACAATAGCAACACCACAATCACTATGGTAACACCACAATCACAATAGCAACACCACAATCACTATGGTAACACCACAATCACAATAGCAACACCACAATCACTATGGTAACACCACAATCACAATAACAACACCACAATCACTATATTAATACCACAATCACTATGGCAACACCACAATCACAATAGCAACACCACAATCACTATGGTTACACCACAATCACTTTGGTAACACCACATTCACTATAGTAACACCGAAATCACTATAGCAACACCACAATCGCTATAGTAACACCGCAATCACTATGGTAACACCACAGTCACAACAGTAACACCACAATCACTATTGTTACACCACAGTCACAATAGCAACACCACAATCACTATAGTAACATCGCAATCACAATAGCAACACCACAATCACTATGGTTACACCACAATCACTTTGGTAACACCACATTCACTATAGTAACACCGAAATCACTATAGCAACACCACAATCACAATAGCAACACCACAATCAATATTGCAACACCACAGTCACTATTGCAACACCACAGTGACAATAGTAACACCACAATCACTATAGTAACACCGCAATCACAATAGCAACACCACAATCAATATTGCAACACCACAGTCACTATTGCAACACCACAGTGACAATAGTAACACCACAATCACTATAGTAACACCGCAATCACTATGGTAACACCACAGTCACAACAGTAACACCACAATAACTTTGGTAACACCAAAGTCACAATAGCAACACCACAATCACTATAGTAATACCACAATCACAATAGCAACACCACACTCACTATAGCCACACCATAATCACTATAGTAACACCACAATCACTATAGTAACACCACAATCACAATAGCAACACCACAATCAATATTGCAACACCACAGTCACTATTGCAACACCACAGTGACAATAGTAACACCACAATCACTATAGTAACACCGCAATCACTATGGTAATACCACAATCACTATAGTTATACCACATTCACAATAGCAACACCACAATCACTATAGTAATACCACAATCACTATAGCAACACCGCAATCACTATAGCAACACCACAGTCACAATAGTAACACCACAATCACTTTAGTAACACCACACTCACTATAGTAATACTGCAATCACTATAATAACACCACAGTTACTATGGTAACACCACAGTCACAATAGCATAACCACAGTCACTATAGCAACAACAAAGTCATAATAGTAACACCACTGTCATTATAGTAACACCACAATCAATATAACCACAGTCACTATTGTAACACCACAGTCACTATTGTAACACAACTGTCATTATAGTAACACCACAATCAATACAGTAACACCACAGTTACTATAGTAACATTTATGTTAGTATTGCCAAAGTTACTATAGTAACACTAATGTTAGTATTGCCACAGTAACTATAGTAACATCAATGTTAGTATTGCCACTGTTACTATACTAACACTAATGATAGTATTGCCACAGTTACTATAGTAACACTAATGCTAGTATTGCCAAAGTTACTATAGTAACACTAATGTTAGTATTGCCACAGTAACTATAGTAACACCAATGTTAGTATTGGCACAGTTACTATAGTAACACTAATGCTAGTATTGCCAAAGTTACTATAGTAACACTAATGTTAGTATTGCCACAGTAACTATAGTAACACCAATGTTAGTATTGCCAAAGTTACTATAGTAACAACTATATGACTTATCTTCAAAGTCATCTTAAAATATATATATATATATATATATATATATATATATATCTTCACAACATTAAAAAATTAATCCTTTAATCTGCTATAATTATTGATCTGCTATGTTATAATTATTATAATGTGTTATTACCTGTTGATGTATCTGGCCATGTCATAACTTGGTTGGTTTTAACTTTAGTCAAATTGTCACTGTATTTTACATATACTCAGTGACATAACAACATGTCTGGAACTTGGAAAATAGCTTGTTTTTGTGACAATATCTGTGCAATGTTATACTTGTATGCATATAATTATCACACTGGTTGGTGTTTTAGAGCCTGGCATTTCTTGACTCTAACTTGGTGCTCAACTCCATCGTGGACGACCAAAGGTAGGTTCTTCAGCCTTTGTTTGAGAGAAGAGCAATTTTTTTAAATGAGAAAAAAAAAATGAAAAATCACTCGTATCAAAGATAAATTTGTTCCATCTAATAAAAGAAGCTTTGAACCAAAAGGGTTTCTTAGGAATAAAAAAACGAAAACATCAAGCTGTCAAGGACAGACGTTTTAGTCGTGCAGGGATATGTAATTAAATGTACATAATTTTATCCCCAGTGTGGTAGCCATGAGTCAGCAGTTTCAGGGAGAAGTCAATGCAGAGCTGGCGAGGAAGTCCAAGGACCTGGGCAAGAAAAGGTAAAGGTGTTAAGTTAGACATGCCAGATTGTATTAAGATCAGTTCTACTGTGTCAAACAGGATACTTGAAGTAAGATCATATGCAGGTTTGTTAAACTGAGCTACGGTCATAGGTTATGAGAAAGACAAACTTAATTACGGTCTATGTACCTATACATCAAGTCAAGGGAGTTAAAAGGAATCATTAACTCATTCGTTCCTACATCTATAAACTAGACTTTCACAGTCTTTGATTTGGTAAGGTTCAAATATGACTTTAGGGGTAAATGGGTGAAAGGCCAGGATGTTGCCAAGACGTCATCAATAAGGTTGTAGCTTGTCCGTTTGGGCCAGATATGTTGCTACTAAGGAGTCATCAATAAGGTTGTTGCTTGTCCGTTTGGGCCAGATATGTTGCTGCTAAGGAGTCATCAATAAGGTTGTTGCTTGTCAATTTGGGCCAGATATGTTGCTAAGGAATCATCAATAAGGTTGTTGCTTGTCCATTTGGGCCAGATATGCTGCTAAGGAGTTATCAATAAGGTTGTTGCTTGTTCGTTTGGGCCAGATATGTTGCTAAGGAATCAATAAGGTTGTTGCTTGTGCGTTTGGGCCAGATATGCTGCTAAGGGGTCATCAATAAGGTTGTTTCTTGTCCGTTTGGGCCAGATATGTTGCTAAGGAATCAATAAGGTTGTTGCTTGTCTGTTTGGGCCAGATATGCTGCTAAGGAGTCATCAATAAGGTTGTTTCTTGTCCGTTTGGGCCAGATATGTTGCTAAGGAATCATCAATAAGGTTGTTGCTTGTCCGTTTGGGCCAGATATTATGCTGCTAAGGAGTCATCAATAAGGTTGTTGCTTGTCCGTTTGGGCCAGATATGTTGCTAAGGAATCATCAATAAGGTTGTTGCTTGTCCGTTTGGGCCAGATATGTTGCTGCTAAGGAGTCATCAATAAGGTTGTTGCTTGTCCGTTTGGGCCAGATATGTTGCTAAGGAATCATCAATAAGGTTGTTGCTTGTCCGTTTGGGCCAGATATGTTGCTGCTAAGGAGTCATCAATAAGGTTGTTGCTTGTCCGTCTGGGCCAGATATGTTGTTAAGGAATCATCAATAAGGTTATTGCTTGTCCGTTTGGGCCAGATATGTTGCTGCTAAGGAGTCATCACTAAGGTTGTTGCTTGTCCGTTTGGGCGATATATGTTGCTAAGGAATCATCACTAAGGTTGTTGCTTGTCCGTCTGGGCCAGATATGTTGTTAAGGAATCATCAATAAGGTTGTTGCTTGTCCGTTTGGGCCATATATGTTGCTAAGGAATCATCAATAAGGTTGTTGCCTGTCCGTTTGGGCCAGATATGTTGCTGCTAAGGAGTCATCAATAAGGTTGTTGCTTGTCCGTTTGGGCCAGATATGTTGCTAAGGAATCATCAATAAGGTTGTTGCTTGTCCGTTTGGGCCAGATATGTTGCTGCTAAGGAGTCATCAATAAGGTTGTTGCTTGTCCGTTTGGGCCAGATATGTTGCTAAGGAATCATCAATAAGGTTGTTGCTTGTCCGTTTGGGCCAGATATGTTGCTAAGGAATCATCAATAAGGTTGTTGCTTGTCCGTTTGGGCCAGATATGTTGCTAAGGAGTCATCAATAAGGTTGTTGCTTGTCCGTTTGGGCCAGATATGTTGCTAAGGAGTCATCAATAAGGTTGTTGCTTGTCCGTTTGGGCCAGATATGTTGCTAAGGAGTCATCAATAAGGTTGTTGCTTGTCCGTTTGGGCCAGATATGTTGCTAAGGAGTCATCAATAAGGTTGTTGCTTGTCCGTTTGGGCCAGATATGTTGCTAAGGAGTCATCAATAAGGTTGTTGCTTGTCCGTTTGGGCCAGATATGTTGCTAAGGAGTCATCAATAAGGTTGTTGCTTGTCCGTTTGGGCCAGATATGTTGCTAAGGAGTCATCAATAAGGTTGTTGCTTGTCCGTTTGGGCCAGATATGTTGCTAAGGAGTCATCAATAAGGTTGTTGCTTGTCCGTTTGGGCCAGATATGTTGCTAAGGAGTCATCAATAAGGTTGTTGCTTGTCCGTTTGGGCCAGATATGTTGCTAAGGAATCATCAATAAGGTTGTTGCTTGTCCGTTTGGGCCAGATATGTTGCTAAGGAGTCATCAATAAGGTTGTTGCTTGTCCGTTTGGGCCAGATATGTTGCTAAGGAGTCATCAATAAGGTTGTTGCTTGTCCGTTTGGGCCAGATATGTTGCTAAGGAGTCATCAATAAGGTTGTTGCTTGTCCGTTTGGGCCAGATATGTTGCTAAGGAGTCATCAATAAGGTTGTTGCTTGTCCGTTTGGGCCAGATATGTTGCTAAGGAGTCATCAATAAGGTTGTTGCTTGTCCGTTTGGGCCAGATATGTTGCTAAGGAGTCATCAATAAGGTTGTTGCTTGTCCGTTTGGGCCAGATATGTTGCTAAGGAGTCATCAATAAGGTTGTTGCTTGTCCGTTTGGGCCAGATATGTTGCTAAGGAGTCATCAATAAGGTTGTTGCTTGTCCGTTTGGGCCAGATATGTTGCTAAGGAGTCATCAATAAGGTTGTTGCTTGTCCGTTTGGGCCAGATATGTTGCTAAGGAGTCATCAATAAGGTTGTTGCTTGTCCGTTTGGGCCATATATGTTGCTAAGGAATCATCAATAAGGTTGTTGCTTGTCCGTTTGGGCCATATATGTTGCTAAGGAATCATCAATAAGGTTGTTGCTTGTCCGTTTGGGCCAGATATGTTGCCAGGAAGTCATCAATAAGGTTGCTGATTGTCCGTTTTGGCCAGATGTGTTGCTAAGGAGTCATCAATAAGTCTTTAAGGCCAAGATGTTGCTTAGGAGTCCTTTATGTCAAATAGGTTAACAACGAGACATTACGGTCAAGGTTATTGCAAAGAAAACACTCACATCAAGAATGTTGCTAAAGAGTCATTCAGGTCAAAGATGTTACTGAGAGTTATTTAAGGTCAAGGATGTCTCTTAGGACTCAATAAGGTTTAAAATATTACTTAAATGAGTTGTAAATTTCTAAGATATCACTAAGACATTAAGGCCAAGAATAGTGCTAAGCAATCAGTAAGGTAAAGAATGTTACATAGTACTCAATAAGATGATATACTTACATTACATATTTCAAATTTAGTTAAAATGAAATTATCAGTATACTTCCATCCTTAATAATCCATATTTTGTGTATTATTGATAGGAATCCAAAAATTATACACAACAACAAAAACATCTGTTTGTGCACACCACAATGAAGAACTACTAGAATCAAACAGGCCCTTTATATGTACTTCTTCCAGTAGTCTCATTTTCACAACATGCTTTTATTTCCAGTGTCTATATATACATAAATTTGAACATAAGACTTTCCTCTTTAGTACTAATCATGCCTGACATTGACATTCAAGGTACATTTTCCTGATTTCGTGTTATGTTTTACAGTTCCTGGCGGTCTGAGGGAGACTTTAACTGGCTGCTGTTGACGTTTAAGAATGGGATGGAGAAGGAGTACTCAAAGAGACCTAACCCCTCCTTCAGGATTGGTGTGCTGTGCATCGCTGGTATATTTGTAGCAGTACAGGTCATACAGGTCATCCTATCACTGGGGTAAGTCAAAGGTCATGCAGGTCATCCTGTCACTGGAGTAAATCAAAAGTCATACAGGTCAATATGTCACTGGGGTGAGTCAAAATATACAGGTCATCCTGTCACGGGGGTGAGTCAAAGGTCATCCTATCACTGGGGTGAGTCAAAGGTCATACAGGTCATCCTGTCACTGGGGTAAGTCAAAGGTCATAAAGGTCATTCTGTCACTGGGGTAAGTCAAAGGCCATACAGGTCATCCTGTCACTGGGGTTAGTCAAAGGTCATACAAGTCATCCTGTCACTGGGGTTAGTCAAAGGTCATACAGGTCATCCTGTCACTGGGGTAAGTCAAAGGTCATACAGGTCATCCTGTCACTGGGGTAAGTCAAAGGTCATACAGGTCATCCTGTCACTGGGGTAGGTCAAAGGTCATAAAGGTCATCCTGTAACTGGGGTTAGTCAAAGGCAGTTAAATAGTTCCATAGTTCCTACAGGCTATCTATCAGCATGGTAGGTCAAATGTCATACAGGCTTTTGTGTCACAGGTCACTCTGTCAGACTATGACCAAGGTAAAATGTTATACGGACCATTCTATCAGTATGTGAGTTCAAATGTCATCATGCTCATAATATCTTTATTATATGGTAAAGTTCATACCATTTTTATCAATAACACAATTTTATTGCTGTACATACAATGTTGTCACTAAATCACTGAAAGTCCCTCTTTATATATGTGTCGTAGGTACAACTTCAAAGTTGTTTGTTCAATGAAGCAGAGAGGCTCTTCCAATAAATTGGTAGTTGTAACTGTCAAAATTTGTATTGACCATAAATGATATAGTGTTTAGTGTGCTATTTTTGTGTTGTAGGGTTCTAAGCGGCACCTGGTTTGGAAGTGCTACTGTTGGATTTGCATTCTTTTTATCTGTGATATTCATCTGCTTTATTGGAGACTTCCTGGTAAGTAACCATATAACAACTCTACCTTGGTAGTAACCATGACAACAGGGATTATCTGGTTATTACCATAACAAAAGGGACTACCTGGTTATTACCATAACAACAGGGACTATCTGGTTATTACATAACAACAGGGACTATCTGGTTATTACCATAACAACAGGGATTATCTGGTTATTACCATAACAACAGGGACTATCTGGTTATTACCATAACAACAGGGACTATCTGGTTATTACCATAACAACAGGGACTATCTGGTTATTACCATAACAACAGGGACTATCTGGTTATTACCATAACAACAGGGACTATCTGGTTATTACCATAACAACAGGGACTATCTGGTTATTACCATAACAACAGGGACTATCTGGTTATTACCATAACAACAGGGACTATCTGGTTATTACCATAACAACAGGGACTATCTGGTTATTACCATAACAACAGGGACTATCTGGTTATTACCATAACAACAGGGACTATCTGGTTATTACCATAACAACAGGGACTATCTGGTTATTACCATAACAACAGGGACTATCTGGTTATTACCATAACAACAGGGACTATCTGGTTATTACCATAACAACAGGGACTATCTGGTTATTACCATAACAACAGGGACTATCTGGTTATTACCATAACAACAGGGACTATCTGGTTATTACCATAACAACAGGGACTATCTGGTTATTACCATAACAACAGGGACTATCTGGTTATTACCATAACAACAGGGACTATCTGGTTATTACCATAACAACAGGGACTATCTGGTTATTACCATAACAACAGGGACTATCTGGTTATTACCATAACAACAGGGACTATCTGGTTATTACCATAACAACAGGGACTATCTGGTTATTACCATAACAACAGGGACTATCTGGTTATTACCATAACAACAGGGACTATCTGGTTATTACCATAACAACAGGGACTATCTGGTTATTACCATAACAACAGGGACTATCTGGTTATTACCATAACAACAGGGACTATCTGGTTATTACCATAACAACAGGGACTATCTGGTTATTACCATAACAACAGGGACTATCTGGTTATTACCATAACAACAGGGACTATCTGGTTATTACCATAACAACAGGGACTATCTGGTTATTACCATAACAACAGGGACTATCTGGTTATTACCATAACAACAGGGACTATCTGGTTATTACCATAACAACAGGGACTATCTGGTTATTACCATAACAACAGGGACTATCTGGTTATTACCATAACAACAGGGACTATCTGGTTATTACCATAACAACAGGGACTATCTGGTTATTACCATAACAACAGGGACTATCTGGTTATTACCATAACAACAGGGACTATCTGGTTATTACCATAACAACAGGGACTATCTGGTTATTACCATAACAACAGGGACTATCTGGTTATTACCATAACAACAGGGACTATCTGGTTATTACCATAACAACAGGGACTATCTGGTTATTACCATAACAACAGGGACTATCTGGTTATTACCATAACAACAGGGACTATCTGGTTATTACCATAACAACAGGGACTATCTGGTTATTACCATAACAACAGGGACTATCTGGTTATTACCATAACAACAGGGACTATCTGGTTATTACCATAACAACAGGGACTATCTGGTTATTACCATAACAACAGGGACTATCTGGTTATTACCATAACAACAGGGACTATCTGGTTATTACCATAACAACAGGGACTATCTGGTTATTACCATAACAACAGGGACTATCTGGTTATTACCATAACAACAGGGACTATCTGGTTATTACCATAACAACAGGGACTATCTGGTTATTACCATAACAACAGGGACTATCTGGTTATTACCATAACAACAGGGACTATCTGGTTATTACCATAACAACAGGGACTATCTGGTTATTACCATAACAACAGGGACTATCTGGTTATTACCATAACAACAGGGACTATCTGGTTATTACCATAACAACAGGGACTATCTGGTTATTACCATAACAACAGGGACTATCTGGTTATTACCATAACAACAGGGACTATCTGGTTATTACCATAACAACAGGGACTATCTGGTTATTACCATAACAACAGGGACTATCTGGTTATTACCATAACAACAGGGACTATCTGGTTATTACCATAACAACAGGGACTACCTGGTTATTATCATAACAACAGGGATTATCTGGTTATTACCATAACAACAGATATATATAACTAATCAAGGTCATTGGATACAGTCGGTATAGTTTAATTCATTTACTTTTTTTACATATAATTTATTTACAAACCACAAATAATAAGGTAATTAATTATCAGATCCCAAGAAAGTATTACCCTTTTGTATTTTAGAGTTGAGTCCCTTATTGTTAAGCACTTGGAGTGTCCTAAAAGTAAGAGCACTTATAATCAGGTTTCAAATCATATATGTCTTTTTTTATATATATTTTACTTAGGATTGTAGACACTGGCTGTATGGATATGGTAACATTTCTGAGTGGATGTTGTCTCTGTTGTTAGGTCTCTGAGGACAAGGGAGTGATCATTGGCATTCTTGCCCACCTGTCTGGACTGACCAAGAGGAGCGCACTGGTGCGAATCATCCTGGCCATTCTGTGTGTAGCCGTAGTCTGTGTTTCCTCCATTATCAGTGTGGTCAGTCTCATCTTCTGCATAGTTGTTTTATCTCCATCAACACAACTCACATCGGATCTCAAAATGATCACATGTCTGTACCTTGTGCTTTTTGATATGTTAATAACTAACATAATGACCTTTACATAACCATTGACCTTTGATAGCTCATTGATAATTTTATGGACCTGTAAATCTCCGATAGTTCATTGATAATTTTATGGACCTGTAAACCTCCGATAGTTCATTGATAATTTTACGAACCTGTAAACCCCCGATAGTTCATTGATAATTTTATGGACCTGTAAACCTCCGATAGTGGCTGTTCATTGATAATTTTATGGACCTGTAAATCTCCGATAGTTCATTGATAATTTTATGGACTTGTAAACCTCCGATAGTTCATTGATAATTTTACGAACCTGTAAACCTCCGATAGTTCATTGATAATTTTATGGACCTGTAAACCTCCGATAGTTCATTGATAATTTTACGGACCTGTTAACCTCCGATTGGTAAGCGTTCAACACTAGATCATTCACAGTTGAAATAAAATTACATGGCTAAATGGAAAAAAAATAACTTACATGGTTGTAACTTCTAAATCATATATGAAAATCTCATCAGGCAAGGTACATACTTGCTTGGGAGATTGAATATATCCGAGGCAGTATTTAGCTGGGGTTTAGTCAACAACATACAGTTCTGGTATTGTGATGATATGTCTGATCCCTGTCTTGAGTGATGTGGCCTTGTTTCAGGTGGACTATGATACCTGTGATAACTGTATACTTCTGACCAATGACAGTCTGGTCAACGCCACGGAGGATGTGAAATTTTACGGGGCACCTGTGGTAAGTATTGTAGTAAGTATTGTAGTATAGTACATTATATAAAAAAGTACTTAATCCTCCAAGATCTCCAAGGTTTTGTTAAATCATTTATGCTGTGTTGCAGTATAGTATTGTTTACTATATTACTTTATTGTTACAGTACCTCTGACTTTGACAATAGCAATAATACTTGGTAGGCCAGAGTACTATAGTTTAACAGAATATTACAAGTCTTACCTCAATGGATGTAGCATCCCCAGTACTCAGCATAGCAAAGGTGGCTCTAGGAGTAATAAAATCTCTCATCCCCTTGGGGGTGAGATAGGGGGATCTCAACCCGAGGGGGGAAGATTCTTAATTTGCCAAACACGAGGCTTTGCCGAGTGCTTGGCAACTTAAGAATCTTCCCCCCCCCCCCCCCGAGGGTTGAGATCCCCCTATCTCATTCCCGAGGGGGTGAATGATTATTTTTCTCTTACCCTGTTGTTCATGTCCAAGTGTAAGACGAAGCATATCGTTTGTAAACAGGAACACGTGGATAGCGTATTAATATTATATGTATGCGTCAGACGGTTCATATTTTAAACATTTTAAAATCAATCCAATCTTCTTTGATGTCAAATGTAAACACTACAAGATTAGCAGACGAACTTGTGTATGTATGTGACCACATATATAAAAGTAGTTCTTCTTCCGGGTAACATCAGTGACGTCAGGTTCATTGTGGAGAACGTGCAAAGAGCACGTGTAGCTTGTCTCAACCCTAGGGTGAGACAATGAAATCTCACACCTGTAAAAGTAAGGATAAATCTGTCCAGGGTAAGAGAAAGATTAAACCCTCCCATTGAAATAGAAACACATACATAGTGAAGAATAGTATATCAGCATACTATGTCTGGGACTAGAGGACTAGTGTTAGTGGTAAACCCTACAGTATATTACAGTATATCAGCAGTGTTAGTGGTAAACCCTACAGTATATTACAGTATATCAGCATACTATGGCTGGGACTAGAGGACTAGTGTTAATGGTAAACCCTACAGTATATTACAGTATATCAGCATACTATGGCTGGGACTAGAGGACTTGTGTTAGTGGTAAACCCTACAGTATATTACAGTATATCAGCATACTATGGCTGGGACTTGTGTTAGTGGTAAACCCTACAGTATATTACAGTATATCAGCATACTATGGCTGGGACTTGTGTTAGTGGTAAACCCTACAGTATATTACAGTATATCAGCATACTATGTCTGGGACTTGTGTTAGTGGTAAACCCTACAGTATATTACAGTATATCAGCATACTATGTCTGGGACTAGTGTTAGTGGTAAACCCTACAGTATATTACAGTATATCAGCATACTATGTCTGGGACTTGTGTTAGTGGTAAACCCTACAGTATATTACAGTATATCAGCATACTATGTCTGGGACTAGTGTTAGTGGTAAACCCTACAGTATATTACAGTATATCAGCATACTATGTCTGGGACTAGTGTTAGTGGTAAACCCTACAGTATATTACAGTATATCAGCATACTATGTCTGGGACTAGTGTTAGTGGTAAACCCTACAGTATATTACAGTATATCAGCATACTATGTCTGGGACTAGTGTTAGTGGTAAACCCTACAGTATATTACAGTATATCAGCATACTATGTCTGGGACTAGTGTTAGTGGTAAACCCTACAGTATATTACAGTATATCAGCATACTATGTCTGGGACTAGTGTTAGTGGTAAACCCTACAGTATATTACAGTATATCAGCATACTATGTCTGGGACTAGTGTTAGTGGTAAACCCTACAGTATATTACAGTATATCAGCATACTATGTCTGGGACTAGTGTTAGTGGTAAACCCTACAGTATATTACAGTATATCAGCATACTATGTCTGGGACTAGTGTTAGTGGTAAACCCTACAGTATATTACAGTATATCAGCATACTATGTCTGGGACTAGTGTTAGTGGTAAACCCTACAGTATATTACAGTATATCAGCATACTATGTCTGGGACTAGTGTTAGTGGTAAACCCTACAGTATATTACAGTATATCAGCATACTATGTCTGGGACTAGTGTTAGTGGTAAACCCTACAGTATATTACAGTATATCAGCATACTATGTCTGGGACTAGTGTTAGTGGTAAACCCTACAGTATATTACAGTATATCAGCATACTATGTCTGGGACTAGTGTTAGTGGTAAACCCTACAGTATATTACAGTATATCAGCATACTATGTCTGGGACTAGTGTTAGTGGTAAACCCTACAGTATATTACAGTATATCAGCATACTATGTCTGGGACTAGTGTTAGTGGTAAACCCTACAGTATATTACAGTATATCAGCATACTATGTCTGGGACTAGTGTTAGTGGTAAACCCTACAGTATATTACAGTATATCAGCATACTATGTCTGGGACTAGTGTTAGTGGTAAACCCTACAGTATATTACAGTATATCAGCATACTATGTCTGGGACTAGTGTTAGTGGTAAACCCTACAGTATATTACAGTATATCAGCATACTATGTCTGGGACTAGTGTTAGTGGTAAACCCTACAGTATATTACAGTATATCAGCATACTATGTCTGGGACTAGTGTTAGTGGTAAACCCTACAGTATATTACAGTATATCAGCATACTATGTCTGGGACTAGTGTTAGTGGTAAACCCTACAGTATATTACAGTATATCAGCATACTATGTCTGGGACTAGTGTTAGTGGTAAACCCTACAGTATATTACAGTATATCAGCATACTATGTCTGGGACTAGTGTTAGTGGTAAACCCTACAGTATATTACAGTATATCAGCATACTATGTCTGGGACTTGTGTTAGTGGTAAACCCTACAGTATATTACAGTATATCAGCATACTATGTCTGGGACTTGTGTTAGTGGTAAACCCTACAGTATATTACAGTATATCAGCATACTATGTCTGGGACTAGTGTTAGTGGTAAACCCTACAGTATATTACAGTATATCAGCATACTATGGCTGGGACTTGTGTTAGTGGTAAACCCTACAGTATATTACAGTATATCACTAGTGTGAATTGCCTCGTTAAAGTATAATTACTATATGTTTACTATCTATTACAGTATAATTACTATATGTTTACTATATGTTACAGTATACTTACTATATGTTACAGTATAATTACTATATGTTACAGTATAATTACTATATGTTTACCATACGTTAGGGTATACTTACTATATGTTACAGTATAATTACTATATGTTTACTATATGTTACAGTATTGGACACACATCAGCCTTCTTGGTCTGGCTTCCACCAGTGTCTTCCTGCAGATTGGTTACCTCATCAAAATGGCCATCATGATGGTTGTCATGGTGATGTATAATCTTGTGTTCCACCTGATGCCAGTGTTTGGGACAGATCTACATACACAGTAAGTCTTGCATTGTTAATATCAAAGGACCATAATGATTAAGCAATTGTCATATAAACAAATCATCTCGGGGACAGATTTTCAGATGTCAACCTATAATAAAGAAAAAGAAAAATAGCAAAAAGGGAAAAAATAGTATTATATAAAAAAAAATAAAAAAAATAGGATTTTAACTGTGTTACCTTGTCCTCTTGTCTGAAGAAGTCATACTAACAGCCATTATATGTTGTATCCCACTCGAATGGAAAACCTGTCAGACAAAAGATATTACCTTATATGTTCCTAACAGTTTTCAGATTTACTCGAAATTCAGAATTTCCATTCTAACTTTTGACTAAATTGATGTCATGCATTACATTTTTTCAAGTATATGTACACTTTGTATGATGCATTTATGTATCCTGTGAGTACAAAGTCTACGTATCTTTCAGATTCAGCAATGTGCCTCCTCTAGATTTGACCATAGCAACTTCACTCTTACTGGCGCTCATATACCTGACCTTGTTCTTCATTGACCGACAGGTAAGTCTAAGGTCAAGGTCAGTCACTCATCCTAGCTGTACTCTATCAAACATTGTTCTTCATTGACCGACAGGTAAGTCTAAGATCAAGGTCAGTCACTGTAACTAGCTGTTTTCTATCTTCTAGTATTTTTCTTTACTGACTGACAGGCAAGGTCAGTCACCAAACTAGCTGTCCTCTATCAAACCTTGTTCTTCATTAACCGACAGGTACATTGTTTAAGGTCAAGGTCAGTCACTGTAACTAGCTGTTTTATATCTTCTAGTATTTTTCTTTATTGACTGACAGGCAAGTCTAAGATCAAGGTCAGTCACTCATATTGGCTGTCCTCTACCTGCCATTGTTCTTCATTGACAGACAGGTAAGTTTAAGGTCAATGTCAGCCACTCATATTGGCTGTCCTCTACCTGACATTGTTCTTCATTGACCGACAGGTAAGTCTAAGGTCAAAGTCATCCTGACCTTGCTCTTTATTGATTGACAAGTCAGTGTAAGGTGATCAAGGTCAGTCATCAATAGTTCCTCCTGGAAGGAACATGTATTTCAGTTGCAACAAGGGATGCTGCATGTAACCAATAAAAGTTGTAAGGATAATATTTGTATTCTCCAATGATCGGTGTGACAGATATAATTCTAGGTAAATATTTAGTTTGGACTTTATGAATTGTGCTTGTTTCTAGGTGGAGTATACTAACAGACTTGATTTTCTGTGGAGGCGACAGTTCAATGAGGACACAGAAAATGTCAAGGTCACAGCTGAGGTCAACAAGCAACTACTACAGAACATCCTGCCCCAGCATGTGGCCGAGTACTTCATCAGGGGTACTCGCAAGCATGATGTGAGTATAGTGCTCATCTGTTACTTTGTGACTGTGCTTTTGAAAACTCTTTTGATTTGAATTTAGAAAGTGAACAGTATTGACATTTTAGATATTCTTAATGCACCATTATGTCCGGGTAACTTGTATTATCATCAGAGTGTCTGGAGATGTTGGAATGCTCAATTTCTCTCCTCCTCCCAAATTTACTTGAATATGTATGTCATATAATATAGAGGATTTACAAATGTACCTGTTTTCACAATGGCATGTGTATCAAAAATACTCTGCATAATTTTTCCAGTGTTTACAAATAGTCTCAATATTTCTGTATTTATCTGTTGTTTTGTGCCTGAATGATGATGGTTGCGAGATATTCATGATTGTCTTGCCTTCAGATTAACATGAACATTATCATTTATAAATCTTTTATCAGATTTAGTCTGCTGTAGCTACTGATTTAGTTTATCATAGTAAGTTATTTTATTTAGATCGCATATCAAATTCAGAAATGTGTCTTTTGACCTTCTGTTAGTATTGAATTAAAAACAAAATTATAATTAGAAAACCTGACATTATTGCATTTTAACCCACAGGACATGTACAGCGAGACGTATGGGTGTGTATCAGTCATGTTCGCGTCCATACCAAACTTCCAGGACTTTTATCAACAGAGTGCGGCCAATCGCAACGGTCTCGAGTGTATCAGAGTTCTCAATGAAATCATTGCCGAGTTTGACCAGGTAATTAGAATTTAGAATTCGCTATTTTTACTGGATTTCGTAATTTAAAAAGGTTCCTCATTCAGTTGTAAACCTATTTAGGTAGTCTTTTTCTCTATATAATAAAATCAAGTATTCTATCTTTTGATTTTGATAAGAATTATTTGGCAATAAGTAAGAACGCCATGTATTGTTACACCTGTCTATACCTTGTGTGGTTGTCTCCAGATCTTGTCCATGTCCGGGTTTTCTGCTGTTGAGAAGATAAAAACGATTGGGAGCACATACATGGCTGCCACGGGTCTACAGCCCGGCCGTGAGGATATCATGGACCCTACAGAGAGGCACAACAACATAGTTACCATGACAACATTTGCTTTAAGCATGATGAAGAAGCTTAATGAGATAAATACCCATACTCTTAACCACTTCAAACTCAGGATAGGTAAAGTATTTAATCATGAAATGTCTGATTCTGTTCATTGTTTAGATGAAAATGTCAAGAGTAAAACTTGGTTTTACTATAAAGAAAAATAAACAACTTGTTTTCTTGTAACAAGATGTTTAGTTCACCTGGTAATACACTTTGGGAAGGATATCTTGATCTGAAGTGTTTGCTTGGGGGAGCTTTTAAAGTCCAAAGATATGGTCACTGATACTTTTAGTAGGAAAATCTTAACACCGATATTCCAGCGGTGTAGCAAATCAATTTAAAACAATGGGATGAGGAAATAATTTGATCAACAATTCTTTAGGTTATCTTAAACAACAATTCTCACTTAATACATTACCTGATACAATTTTGCTTTTTAGTTTATCTCGGAAGCTTAATAATACGAAGCAAAATGTGGGATTCTATATGAGACCTTCTGATGGAATTTTTGTGTTGATAAATGTACGTTTGTAACTGTAAATTGTTGTTGTAGGTGTAAACCACGGGGCGGTGATAGCGGGTGTGATCGGGGCCAGGAAACCTCAATATGATATCTGGGGGGACACGGTCAATGTGGCCAGTCGTATGGACAGCTCTGGAGAGATGGGCAAGATACAGGTACGTACAGCTCTGTCCCTACAACTCAACTCAATACAATGTCATGTACATTTAACAACAACATATAAGAGTTCTAAGCTGTATTTTTATCCCTCTGAAATTGTAGGTATTGTATGTACCTTAGATGGTTTATCAAATAAAATGTTGTTCAAACTTAGCTAATCAAGGCCACAAGAGTGAAGAAAGCTCTAGTAGTTATTGGAGGAAACCTATATAACAGTAATGGGAAGATAAAGAACCCTGTAGTAGTTATATATCAACTCATCATTGACATGCGTCTAGCCTAAAGGTCAAAATATGTATGTGTATTATAATTTGTTACACCTCCAGTGTTAGACACTGTGATAAGTTTTCAGTGTTTTTTCTTCTATGTGTAATATGTCTTTATTGCTCTAATTTAATTATACATTGTATTTAGGTACCAGAGACAACAGCACAGTACCTTTTTGATAAGGGGTTCAATATCCATAAAAAGGGCCTCACTAAGATCAAAGGTAAAGACCCAATGACTACTTATTTTGTGTTACCAAAGGTTGACTCACCAGACTCAGTGACCCCTCTATGACCTTTATAACATTCATCTCAAGGTCAAGTCTGCCATTTGGTGCTCTCTGTGATGTGAAGCTGGCCAAACATTCAAGAAACACGTGCCAGCGTATGACCTGATGCACGTGCCACACCTGTCATCTGCATGACCTGGTACATGTGGCACACCTGTCATCTGTATGACCTGGTACATGTGGCCCACCTGTCACCTGTATGACCTGGGACACGGGTCACACCTGTCACCTGTATGACTTGGTACACGTGTCACCCCTGTCCCCTGTATGGACAATCAGGACACACAAGCCACCATTGCAACTGTATGATAAAGGACAAGTCATAGATACTGTGTTGTATTGGACTCAAACTGGAGTGGTCATATTGATATGTGACAGAAGCCCTACTGCCTACACGGACGACTCTGCTTCCTATTGAGTATGGATGATCTCAGTGATACAGCCAATCCGCCTGGGATAATGGTAAAACACGTGCCAGCGTATGACCTGATGCACGTGCCACACCTGTCATCTGTATGACCTGGTACATGTGGCACACCTGTCACCTGTATTACCTGGTACACGTGTCACACCTGTCACCTGTATGACTTGGTACACGTGTCACACCTGTCCCCTGTATGGACAATCAGGACACACAAGCCACCATTGCAACTGTATGATAAAGGACAAGTCATAGATACTGTGTTGTATTGGACTCAAACTGGAGTGGTCATATTGATATGTGACAGAAGCCCTACTGCCTACACGGACGACTCTGGTTCCTATTGAGTATGGATGATCTCAGTGATACAGCCAATCCGCCTGGGATAATGGGATGGAAATACTCATTGGAACGGAACAATGACCAGTGGCAACATTTAGTGTTGTGGTTGTTCACATGTAATTCGGGAGATATTTGGAAGAACTTATTTTCACCAGGATATAAAAATATATTTATGAATACATTGTCTGGGTTAACCAACTTTTATACAAGGTAACTTCATCTGGAAATATATATCAGTCTTTGACATTACCACATTATCATCCTACCAAGTTCAAATAGCATTCATATCATATATGAATGCCATGTTCCATTTTAAGATCAAAATTGTAACATCAGATACATCTGATCCTACCCTGAAGATGGTAGTTCCATTCATTAAACAACTACAAATGATATATACACTTATTTGAACTAAATGTTGATCTTTGATTTATTGATTTAATTATCTATAATATAAAAATAAAATAACTAAAAAATGGTATATGTATCTTTTGAACTGTTTTCTGTTGGCATGCATGACCAATACGAATGTCAACTGGAAATGATAAATTCAACATGAAGCACAAGCACTCTTCATGGCTGTTGTCATTTTCAGTTAACATTCATATTTAGTATGAATGCCTGAGAAGAGCAGTTCAATGCTTAAACCTATACATTGTTGTATTACAACTGCTATTTATCTTCATTAGGATATCAACGATGTTACAATTACAAGTTATCTTTATCCGGATATCATCAATGTTACAATTTCAAATTATCTTCATCAGAATATAAACAATGTAACAATTATGAATTTATCTTCATCAGAATATAAACAATGTAACAATGATGAATTTATCTTCATCAGAATATCAACAATGTAACAATTTTATATTATCTTCATCAGAATGTAAACAATGTAACAATCACAAATGTATCTTCATCAGAATATCAACAATGTAACAATTATAAATTATCTTCATCAGGATATCAACAATGTTTCAACTTCAAATTACCTTCATTAGCATATGAACATATATATTGGTTGTTACTAAAAAGATATTTTCTTCGTGATATTGTACAAACCCCCAATATTCAAAGAAAAATATTGAAACATAAATTCATATCACAGCCTTCTACATTATTGTTTACTGTATTCCTGAAGATGCACGACAACATTTACTACAAAACTGAGGATGTAGGGTTAAACTACAGACTAGTTCCATTATGAAGTTGAATGTTCACATGGCGATTTCTGGAAGCCTTGTTGACTAAACAATAGTTTGAAATGTAGTAAAGCTTGCCACCGCCCTAGAAATACCAGAACAGTTAGAAACTGAAGAATGTTTAACATTACTGTACTTCCGCAGGCATGTGTCATTGGTACACAACAGTGTCTGTCTGATGATGCTTTCACGGTTCAGGATAATGTGGTGACAAATGAAATAATTCCTGTTTTAATATTCAAAGCAAGTCTGTGTATAGATTCTTCATGGAAACAACTCCAATACAGGCGACTCACACTATGTGGGCCACAGATTGTTTATTTAATATATGCTGACGAGATGATTGTTGTTTGTAAGCGGCTGTGTGATGGGTTATAAGAGCGGTGCTAGATGTCAAACATGGCGTGTGCCTGTATTAAGGTGTGGTGACAGTGGAATGGATACAATCTCTGCAACACGTAGAACTAGCTACATGTTTACTACATTGTGTTTGAAATGTTAAAACAAACCGACATTACCATATCAAAACAGTCGTATTTATAAATATATCTACAAATGTTCCAAAGTTGACATGGACATATTCATGATATTTAAGATATTTGAAAATGTGATAGTACCTGATAAATCTAGTCTTTTAGTGAATGTTCTATCATTTGTGCCGTCAATAAATGTGAAAGAATGTGAGCTACCGTGTCTGGTCCTATGTTGTCCTTGCGTGTCAGAGCGGACCTTGGTTTGACTGTGTTTAAGAGTGGGCCTTGGATTCGCTTCGTGTTTCGGAGCGGGCCTTTGGTTGACTTTGTGAGTCAGAGTTGGCCTTGGTTTCACTTTGTGTTTCATATAGTCCGATCTGGTGTGCCCTGTGTCTGGTTCTAGTTTTACTCCGTGTGATGGGATCTGAATGGGTGATGTTTGTACCTAAGTTGGCCTTTTGTGACATGTCTGATTCAAGGTTGGCCTTCTGTTTATTGACGTTTTTTGTTTGACTTATCTTGATTTGTATGTTTCATATTCTAGAACAACAGTAGCTTCAGTTTAGTATAAGGTTGCGACATGTTCTTCAATAAGATTCATGCGTTTGAAAATATGTAATATCGAAGTTTTTCTTTATACACAAAACATGTACGTATTAAAAGTGTCGCACCGTCAGAGCTTGACAAAGGGACCAATCGGTCTTGAAACGTTGAATACGTCCATTGTTTGTGTATCAAGTAAATTTTTGATTTTGTGGAAACAAGTTGTTCTGTGCGAGTATTTCAAATATGGACGGACACTCTGATACCCACTAATATGCTTGAAATAAAATTTGATAAATGCTGCTACTAATACAGACAAGTTCTCCGTAGTTTTCATCATCAGTGTGGTTAAAATTGTGTACTAGATATTGAACGCAGAACAAGCTCTAGTTTCTAATCCTTCCAGATATAAATGTCTCTAATCAAACTAAAACAAACCTGTTATTCAGCGTGCTGGAATTAACGTTAAAATGCGTTTTAGTGGACAGACACTATTCTATTCAAACTAATGGGTACTTCCAGCATGGACTAACGTTAACAAATGTTCAACGGAAAAAGGTTTGTTCTATTCAAGCAAGTTGGGAAGTAAAACAAAGTTAGGGTCGATGGACAGGGGCTGTTCTTTTAAACAAAGAATCTTGGGAATGCGACGAAATACGGACGGATTTGTTAAACTAATGGCTTCCTATACTTGCAGCATTAGCTTAAAAATCTTTGAAGAGACAGGAGGATATTTAAGATATGTCTGATATAGTACAGAGACATATATGATGTTCTTCAATGACAGCTATTATACAATGACGAGCAATTCAGGGTTCATGTCACATTGTGTAATGTGTTGTGTCGTTATAATGGTTTGTGTTGTGTCGTTATAATGGTTTGTGTTGTGTCGTTATATTGTAATGGTTTGGTTATGTTTAAAATCGTTTTAGTGTTTACTTTATGATACTTTGTATGATGCATTGTGCATATTTCCAGTGTGCATAGTTAATTCACATTACACATTTGATAAAAAATATCATTTCAACATCAATAGTTGTCTTATCAACAAAGCCGATGTTAAAATCGTGGGTTGATAGCTATCGATATAGATATCAAACACATTACTGAACGAGCTCCAATGGCTGTCATAATTGAATAACAAACGTAAATAATTGTATCCTTATGTTATTTTTATGCATCACTTACTTGGTTTGTGCCATTTATTATTCAGTAGAAATGCTAAGTATCCCATTCACGATTAATTATTTCGAACCTTAAATCATTTCAGTTTTTCATTTTCCTTCAGAGCTTGTGCAGCTGAATTTAAGTGGGAATACTGTATTATATATGTAATCATGTTGACCAATAAATCGTGGTCGCTACGTAAACCTGATTATTAGTTTATTTTTCTAATCCCCGTTTTTGTCCGTATGGAATTCTTAAAGAATATGTATTGTGTCTGGGTTTACATAATTTATATTTCGAGGAGAGAACAATATCAAATTATATACCCCGGAAGCTGACAAAGAACTTCCGAAGTATTGTGTGTGATATTGTTCAGTGGTAACCTGGGTGCGTTTGGGTGTTTGTGATATAAGAGTATTTTAACTCATCCTGATATGAAAAATCACGATAAAATATCAACAATTTGTCCGTCGCTATTTTTACCTGTAATATACACGAACGTAATGTCTATACACATTCAGCATTCCATCATTACAGTCATTAGTCCTCAGCATGCAAAATGAAGCGTACATATCCCGATGTTTGGTCGTGTGATGTAGTGTATGTGGTAATCTATTTCTGTGATACTTGGATACGTCTAAGCTTATGTGCTTGCCGATTATTGTGTAATACTTACTTACATTTATAATATATAATGTCCAAATCAACTCTCTAGCAGAAAATTGACGTATTTGGTGGTTTTCTAACCAATAAACATATATGTAAACACACATGGTTGTTACATGTATTAAACAAAATTTGCAGGAAAGCAAGATATTCAATAAATGCATACGAACTACTAGTGTGTTGATTCGGATATAATATATTTACTG